ATATTATCCGCAGAAACAGAGAATTAGAAGCTGAAGAGAATGCCAATAACATCAGCGGTGAAGAAGATGGAGAAGAAAAAGAAGCATTAGACATAAAGAGGAAACTGAATACAGATAATCTCTGTTTGTCTATACCTCGAAGTTGTTCAAGGTAAATAGTGTGGCAGTATTTATTGTTAGTATTAATTGCTTAATTGTATCTATTATTTACTTTTGCTCTTTTCTGTATCATTTTTGATTGACAAATGGATTAACAGGTGTCACGATAAATATGTGTGTAGTTACAAAGAGAACTAAAGGACTGATTAGCACAGAGGTTAATGAGGCTGCAGTAAACAGGTACTTGAGACTTTAACTTTTTTTTTTCCCCCTCCAACAAAAAAAAGATATTTTTCTTGTTTTTTTGTGTGATTCCCATTTTGACTTACTGGACAATTTCTCAGTAACCACTAAAAATAATGGCATAAATCAGCTAAAAAAAGAGGTTGTGAAGATAAGATTTAAATGACAACTGTAAAAAAAAAAAGCTTCTGGTGATGGGAAGACTTCTTTTTATTGCGGCATAGATTACAGGTAGGCTATTTCCAAAAAGTAATCATATTTCAATTCATTAATCATCTTGAAACTGTAGGTCCCTTTAAAAAATTTTTTTTTCTCCAAACTACTTCACTCATCATGTCAATTCCAATTTGAAGCATACTTATCGTATGAAAACTGTAGGTCTGTTTAAAAATTTTTTTTTTTTTCTCCAAACCACTTCACTCATCATTCAAATGTCAATTCTTCCAATTTGAAGCATACTTACTGAGTGAAGTGGAATTAAAAAATAAGGATGTGGCTATATTTTTAAATATTTTCTATTCACTTGGAGGAAAGGGGCATAAAATACTTCTCTTGTTTTTAATTTGATTTCACTTTGTCATGGAGGATGTATTAAGCACAAAATAGAAAAAAAAATTCCCAGTCTCCCGGTATTTTTAGTCAGACTAAAATAGCATAGTCAAACACAGAAAAGTAATTTTTCTAATTTTTTTTTTTTAGGATGGGATGTATTTTGCTTTGCCTATCCCAGAGGGCTTTATATCAACAGAATGTGTTAGGGCTTTTTCCAGTTTTTTCCACTTTTGTTTTTGTTTTTGTCTGTTCTCACTACAAGTCATCAAAGAGATTACTAAACATCTCCATTCATTGATTTCTTTTATCGATCTCCTGTCTAGTATTACTTGATAAGACCCTACTATTTTGGAAATCGACCTTTTTTACCAGGCATCATTTTAACTTGGAGATATATGTAAATATTTATCAGTTTACTAAAAAAACAAAAAATGGTTATTGTTTGATTATTGATATTATTTTTATTATTATGTAACAGCTGTTAATATTGTTGCTGGTGTTTTTGTCATTTTAATTTTTAAGTCATTAATTTCATCATTCATTATTGATGAAAATAAAATTATTTAGATAAATTTTCATGTTATTTCTTTTCAGCATCAGACGTTTTTAAATTATAATTAGTTTTAACTGATCTGAAATAAATTTTGATTTGTGTTATTCATCTGTTTTCTTTTTTGTTTTTTTTTCCTCCTGAAATGTTTGACAAGTAACCATTTCGATTATTATTATTTCTCAAGTGCACAGACTGATAGATGTAAAAATACACACTGTTTAAAGTAAAAAATTGAGGTATCCACTAAAAATAATATTTGCAGTAATATTATTAATATACCTAGATATATTAGTGTTTATGAATGTTTTTATTTGACAATGTTTTGTCTTCTCTTTTTAAAAAATTTAAATAAATACCTTTGATTCTAATGACAGCCCTAACCTGGTCCAAGAAAATAATGAAGTATCTACTGAAAAGGTAAGAAATACACACATTTGTCTTATTTTTCATCCTATGCATCAAATGATATAGTAACAAACAGTACTACAAAGAACTGCTGAAAAAGTTCTCAACTTTAACCATTGACCAAAATCATTATTTCAATAACCAAACATTAGAATACTGATTTTTTGGTAGTGAGTTGGATCAAGAACATTTTAGAACCCCCCGCGCAGTTATACTTACTCATTTTATTTACATCTCGTTTCTTGTTTACTTAGGACATAAATTACAGGCTGTTTACTTGGAATATTTTTCTTTTACTGTGCTGTGCTCCCTCAGGATGTAGGCAATTATGGCTCTCCAAAATTTCCTGTCCTTTCTAGCATTTAATAAACTTTGTCTTTCTGTTATTTTTCCAAAGACCTGTTCTGCCATCCATTTACTCAAGCTCACTAAGTATGTTATGCATTTTTTTCTTTTGTCCTTCTTGCCCTCTATCTGTCTTGTGAGTATCCTATTTTCCAAGCCCTCATTATGTGCCCCAGAAACTGTCTCTTCTTAATGTTAAGTATTAGTTTCCTTTTTGTTTCCATTTTCTCCAATAGTATCCTCAACATCCTTCTGTAGAACCACATTTCTGTTGCTTCTCCTCTTCATCTTTGAGGAGATTGTCTAGCACTTACCGCCATACAGGAGGACAGATATCACATAGCAGTTTAGTATTCTTTTCCTTGTTTCTAGTAAAAAAATTTATTTCTCAGTAATCTGCTTAGCTTTTGGAATGCTTCCTTGGCTATCCCAATAGACTTCTAGATCTCAGTGTTTCTCTTTCCGTCCTCTGTTAAAACACTTCCCAGATATTTAAATTTCTGCACTTGTTTTATTTTGGTATCAGTGATTTGCAATTCACACTTTGGGCTCAGTTGATGTTTAATCCTTTTTTTCTTGCTTTTCTTTATGACCCTCTGTAGGAGTTCTTGTAGCTTTCTTTCTGTGTCTGCTACCAACACTGTGACATCTGCATATCTTATGTTGTTAAGATTGTGGCCACCAATAATGAATATTGGTAGAACTTCTAGTTCTCTCAGAATCGCCACGCTGTATAGATTGAATGAGTCTGATAAGACACATCTTTGTCATAGTCTATTCATCAAAATTTGGATGATCATTTTAGCTATATGGCTCATTAAGCTGATTGTCCGATGGAGTTTGCACCTTGCTTCTTAGTCAATTCTATGAAAATAGATTTACTTAGGTCTTCTAGTATATCACCACAGTTGTAAATTTCATTTATTATTTCTGTGATTTTGTCTATGCTAAAATCGTCCAAGGACTCCAGCATCTCTATTAAATTCCGTCTGGCCCTGCCACTCTGTTTCTGCTCAATTTGGCCAGTGCAGATTCCATTTCAGATTTTAATATTTCCAATCTATCGATATTTCTGTGTTTTGCCAGTTGATATCTTTCTTGTCATAGAAGAGTTCTCTAATATATTGATTCCATCTCTGGAGTAGTTTTTCTTTTTCTAATGTCAGTGTTCCAACCTTGGACTTTATGCATCCTGTTGATGAATGTCTTTTGTCCTGTTAGTTTCCTTACTTTTTTTTATGCATGTCTGCTATAGATATGTGCAAAGGTTTCCAAAATTTTTCATTGTAAAACATTTTTTATACTATTTATTCAGTCTCTTTTCAATAAAAGGATACTAGGAACCTTTGCACACACCTCTTATACATTTTAGTTAATGCTTAAAAAAAAATGAAAACAAGAAAAAGGCAGTTAATGCTGTATATATAAAGGGTATTTCACAAAAACAAACTTATTTCCAGTTATTAAATATAATGCATATTGTAAGTTAGGATTCTTTTTATAATGGAATTAGTCTACTCTTGACCCATTTGGTCACAAACTATACACAAGTTTTAAAGAAATAAAGATGATTTCAACATTTCTGTAATGATATGTAAATTAGGTACTGTTTAAAAGGTTGTGTCACTATACCTATCGGAGAGTTATCTTCTCTTGACGAGACTACATTTAACAGAGAATACCTATCATAACAATTACAATAAAAATGAAGTTTTATTTTGAGATAGTTTAACGCTCAAATCCATTCATGTAATTCATAATTCAAGAAAAGATATTTGTTGATTTGTAAATTGAAGGAAGAATAAGGGAATTTAAAAATTAACATCTGCAAAATAATTGTTTACAACAGATTTTTTACTTTTTATTACAGTATATGTAAACATAAATAAGACATAAAGACATTGGTAAAATCACAGCTGCAATATTTTATGTAACAAAGATGAGAAAATTACACTTTTTAGTGAAAATTCATGTAATAATGTTACTGTGTGAACATTTAAAACTAACACATTTCTTGGTTTTAAGAAAACTTGATTTATTCTGTTTCTATTCCCATTGTGGTATCTTAAAAATATAGTGGTATTTTGTACCATTTGCTCAATTATAAGCAAACAATCTCTGAGTTTTTAATAGTACTATATTTTCTTATGTATAATACAATAAATTTTGAATGAAAATTAAAGGTAAAAAAAAGCAGTCATATTGTACATGTTTTCAGAAATTTTTCTTAGCTTAAAAAACCTTATTTGAAACAACATGATTGCAAATACACTCAGCACAATAGATAATAAAACCCAAAGTAGCCAGGTGTCTTAATTAAAGACAATATTTTTTTTATTTTCATAGTTTATTACTATATAGAAATATAATAAAGCAATATGAAACAGAAAAGTGTGATAGATTAATTAACACCTTAAAATGTATTACTGGATATGTCTAGTTAGACAAATTGAAAATAAGTTTTGAAATGAAAATTAAAAGAAGAAAAATGCAATAGCTAAACATCCAGTTCATTTTTATTCTTTAATATTGTAAAAATTAAATATCTTTGTGATATATACACACACACAACATTGGGTTTTTAATGGGCAATAATGTACAGGAACAAAAAAAATTAACAGAGTATTACGGGGGTTGTATTTTACTCAAGGATGTAATTAATTCCATGGTTATATCTTAAGAAACACAAGGCCATATTATACACAAGTAAGCATGGTATGTAACAAACCAATTTGTGAATGAAAAAAATAACTTGCAAACAGAAGAAAGAATGTCTTTCAGTTGTATCATTATTCAAATAGTATATCAATCAAAATAATAAGTTTTTAAAAGAAAAAAAAATATTGTTACTATTGCATATAATGTACTCAGTAAAATATGTATGATAAAGTACAGTGGTACATCATTAAATCCATAAATGATATAAAAAAATGTATTTCTTTTGCACAGCAAATATTTATTTTTCAACATAGACTTCATTTACATTATTTACATTATTCAGACTATTGTCCTCATCTTTGTCGCCATATTTATTACAATGTTTCAGCCATTGTACACTCCGGCGTTCTTCAGGTGGTTGGAATATCAAACTGAACCCTTTATTATGCTCACTAGGGTAGACTGTTCTAGTTCTACGTGCCATGTTTGACGGATGTCAGTTATCAATCTAATATGCAATATGAGAACTGGTAAAAATGGTTGCTGAAGACATTAGGTGGTTTATAATACCCAGAAATTCATACCCAGATGTCCCCAAGGACACATGGCACAGTGGATAAAGGCATTGGTTAGATTCAGTGACAGAACCCAAAGAGTTAAGGCAGTGGGGAACTTTCAGAGGGAAATTAACAGAAGATAATTTATAACTGACATCCATCAAACATGGCACATGGAACTAGTTCAGGGTTCAGTTCGACATTCCAGAGCGTACAATTATAATTAATATGGCGACAAAGATGAGGACAATAGTCTGAATAATGTAAATAATGTACATAATACCTCATCTCAGAAATATAGACAGACCCTGATAGACTTCATTTGACAATAAACTTAGCCCAGTGCTTCTCCATTAATTATATACAGATTGAACATTAAACAGTGGAAATTTCAGATCAGAATTCAGCTAATGATTGTCAGGTACAGACTTGTTGATTCACTCATATTAATTTTAATTTTTGGTAAAATAATTTCTTGCTAAAAACAATGTGATGTAGCTTCCCTCTGTCTTTTCTACAAATATTTTCATGGCAATTGTTCTGATGAGCTTTCCTTCTTGGTGCCTCAACTGCATAAATTTAAGTGTGCTACTAGATTAACAACTACCTAGATGCAATGGTATGTTCTATTCTAATAGTCTCTTTTCTCATACTTCCCACTTGTGGAAGTCCTTTCCAATTTCTTGCTTCCTGCCACCTACAATCTTCCAAAATTAAAATGCAACATCAATTGCCATCTTCTATCTTCCTGAATCCTGTTCTTTTTTTTTTTTTTATTTTGTTCTTTCTCCTCACTAAAGTCTTCACATTCTCTTCCACTCCCAGTAACCTCTTGCCTCTTAGTGGTATTATTACCTTGCTTAGAGTGAAATTATTAAAAAGAAAAAAAAAGATTTTATTTATCAAGTAATATAAAAATAAGTCATCAAACAGTTTGATTATTTAAAAATGATGTCTAGCTTAAAAATATAACAATATATTTTTTGTTCTTTTTTATACGGTTACTATGTAGTTTGTTGATCATGTTGCTGCCAAGATTTTATTATACATTTTGTGCGTGTGTGTATATGTGACTTTGTAACCAGATAAACAGAAAGTTAATAGAAAAGGCTCCATCAACAACAAAGCTCACTTGAAAACATACAGAATAATTTATCATTTCCTGTTTTATGTATTGCTTACTGTTTCAAAGCTCTGAAAAAAGGGTATTTATGTTTACAAAGAGGCATAAAATGTATATTATTTGATATTCACTCATGAAAAAAGATCATTTAAATCTTTTTATAGAACAGTAACACTGTCATTGATCATAAACACTTGTTTTGAATTGTAGCTTATTAAAACACGATCTGTGCCAGACCTGACAAGTATTTTCAAAACTGCCCTCAGTTATCCAGATCTTGAAGTGGAGTTATCCATAGAAGAACTTGAAAAGGTAAATTTAAATATTTTCCTCTATTTTGTCTACTATTTTATTGTTAGAAAAAAAGCGACTATCATGGAAATAATAAATTGACTTTTACTTCATAATCTTATCTAATTGTTTGTCTACAAAATTACTAAATTTGACTAAAGTATAGATAATTTCTTAAAAAAAAAAAAAAATCCACTTCATAATAGATAATTGTAATTTTTAGAAATTTAGCTTTAATATGTACTGATATTTTGCTGAGGGCTACTATAATATCATTTGTTATCTTCACAACGTTTCAGTTATTATACTCTGACCTCCTTCAGGTTTGCTATAGTTGATAACTTTTGTAGAATTTCAAACTGAACCATGAGAGTAGATTATTCTTATCCCACTGTCTATACTGGGAATATCTCATATTGGTTAATTTCCTTAAGTTAATTTGTCCTTGTGATGTCACTTGTCATGCGCTATTCAACCCCCATTTTGAACTCAACAATCAATCTGTTTAACCGATACTTTTATTCACTAAGCCATGTTCTTTTTTTTTGCTACTTAATGGATCCCATGTAGTATTTAACCTATGCTACTCTCTCATGCCTAATAATTTTTTTTTTTTTTTTACTGCCTATATCCACTTATATGACCCTTGCAACTTAGTTTTCTATATTTCATGCTGCCCCCTCAACTTATATGTTAAAACAGAAGCAGCTAGTTGTTCCAACTTATTTTGGCTCCTGCAAGCTCAAACTAAAAATTCACAAGAGATTTCTAACTGCACCTAATCATTAGACCCAGCACCATTTATTAGACACAGGAGAGTAGGTCTACTGAAAAACTTTCTAATAGATTTAATTAATATGGCTTCCCTCTGTCTTTTCTATAAATATTTTCATGGCAACTCTTCTGATGAACTGTCTTAACTACATGAATTTAAGTGTGTTACTAGATTGACATCTAGATTCCACCCTTTTACTGATGAAATAGTTAAATGCAACTGCCACTTCTACTCCAGCAGTTTATTTTCTTGCATTTCTTGACAGTGGCACTCCCTTCCTCTTATTTGCTTCCCTGATAACAATCTTTAAAAATTTAAATGCAACATCAATCAGCATCTTCTGATCCCCATTCCACTTTTATCCTTTCCTCAATCCCCTCACTTTCACTCTCTGTAACCCCCTGCATGCTTGTGGCCCTCCTACCTTGCTTGGAGGAAAATGCTTTAAAAAAAAAAAATTATTGGAACCTAATTCAAAGTTTTCACCACCAAAATGACTCATCAACAACAGATTTAAAGAGACTTTTGAAAGCATTATGTGAGCTATGTAGAAAGTTACATTTTCCCCTTAAGCTTCTTAAATAAACTTGCTTAAAAAGGTTTATGCTCATTAATAAGGTTTTTCATTCATCTTAATGAAGAATGTTTAATCTTCCTTATATTTTTATACAATTCTATCATTAATGGAATTATGCAGCAAAACTAATTAGTATTTTTCCATTCTTCCTGTTTTCCAACATTTTATGATTTTATTCTCTCCAGATAAGCATCAAAGAAATTCTTGAACAAGGCTATTCTCCAAAAAGATTATCGGCCATGTCAAGTGAATATGAACCAAGTCTTGAAGAGTAAGTGTTTGCTTTTTCTAATTTTCTCATCTCCGTTTTCTTTTATGATGGGGCTTTGAAAAGTTCTTGATCCAACCAAGAAGCACTTTCAATAAAAAAAAAAAAAAAAAAAATGTTTAATTATTCAGTTAGGTTTTGGGAATGGGTTGGGCAAAAAAGAAAACTTTTTAGCACCCACTTGTACAAGTAGAATAACTGACTTTGTAAATACAGGGACCAATATACAGACCAATATCTTCAGTGATTTTTCACCATAATATTCACTATTTAGTTTGTAATTATAGATGTGACATTATGGCATTGTTAAAAAAAATAACAATAAAAAGCTTAAAGTTTTTTAAAAATTCCTTTTTTGATCTTAGCTCTTCTGAAACGTTTCCAATGCTATTGATCAGTTTCTCCTCTACTTTGCACTTTAAAACATCATAATGAACAACTAATAGTTATCCAGTTTAAAATAATATGCCAAAATTACTTGATTCTCTTTCTATGTAATTGGTACAGTGAGCATTTGGCTTGTTTGAATGATGCCTTGGAAGAGGAAACACATTTTTGGGAGAGGAGTAGAAATTGCAGCCTGACAACACCTATGCAATAGAGAAAATAAATATGGAGCTGAGACAGGAAAATATTTCCACATTTATTTTCCAGCCCTGTCACCTTCAGGCCATCATTTCTTTCACTCCATATAACACCCTTTTTGTCAATTCAGGGTTCCCCAAAAATGGTAGATACCAAAAGATTCCTTAAAGAATTTACCAAATTAAAAATAGAATCATTCTTTTATAGTGGAATACCCAGTTGCCTGAAAGGTGGCATAAGGCCATAGGAAAATGGAGAAAATATTTTGATGACTGAATAAGGAGACTATTCTATGAATAAAAGATATTTTTGTATCAATATAATACATTTCATGCTTGATTCTTAATTCTGCTTTTTTCTTTATAGAACTGATGAACTCAGTTTAGTAAAGGAGTCCATGAAGGATTTATTAAGCAAGAGTAAGTTTTCTTTTTGATTTTATTCTGTAATTTTTAAATAATTTTTTTTCAGTATAACTCACATATTTGTTTTTTTTTGCACAACAAATTTTATTTGTATATCAATGAACATATAAGAATTACTCAACAGAAAATTTGCTTCCAAAATCATCATTAATCTTTATTGGATAACTTTTGTCTCATTCTCATTTAAAACAGCAATTAGTCATCATACCTGGATAAAATTATCATGCATTGGATTCATCCACTTTTTGGGTTGAGACATGGCATATATTTTTTTTTTTTTTTTGTATAGAGACTATAAAAAACTTAAGTAAATTAAAGAGATCATTATAGCATGAGCCCAATATAAAGAAATTTAAAAGAGAAATATGTACCTTTGGGCACAATAAAAGGAAACTGAACAAATATAATGAAGTAATAGTGAGGATATTTTTATTTCTTTGATCCAATTATGTACTGTAGTATTTTTTGTGTCATCCTTTGTTTGTCTATAAGCTTGTTGATGATTTAAATTTCACAGCCTTGCAGCAGATAAAATTGGACATCCAGGGATGATTACCAAGTCCTATATCTGGATATTGACATGATTGGGCAGGGTGTAATTCTTCACAATTAATACCCATAAGCAAGGAGTGGTTGCTTTCTCTTTTGACTACAACATAATACAATTATTTCTAAACCTCTTTTCTCTTTTTCAAATTTAATGACAGACCTAATTAATCTTGGAATGTGGGTACGTCTGACCTGCAAAAAAAAAGACTATCAAGTGACTCACAGTTCCTTCTCTTTTTTTAAATCAGACAGAAATTAAAACGATAGAAAAATTTTAAGTTTAGAAGCTGTTATTTATAACTTTTCAATTTTTTTCTTTTTTCTTATCTCCTCCCCCACTACTGATGACAGTGGTGAAGAGTGCACTGTTCTTTAATTTTTGTGCAAGATGCTTTTCAGAATTAGAGCATGTTGATTCATTCACCATATTTCAGATTGTATTTGTAGTGATACATGGGTTGTGTTTGTTTGGCATTTGAGGGTGTGTAATTAACAAGTTTATCTTCATCAGAATTGATGCATTTGGGTAGATCAATTAGAGTATCTATTGGCAGTTTGGGATATCTCTTAAAGGAACTGCTGTTCCTGGTAATAAAACAGTTTCTTTGTCAGATTATCAGATGGTGATCATAGATCCTTTCTTCTATGTGACTATCTTTCACATGGGTTGGTAGGAGGTTGAAGATTTGGAGATGGTGGTGTCTTTAATGATGACTGTATCATTTGCTGTTGCTGCTTCATCAAGAACAATTGTCATTGCTTTGGGTATTGATACAGTAGATGATGTAGAGATGAGGTACTCATCAGTTTTTGTTCCCATGTAATGATTGATAGTTTCACTGGATGATGACTTGAGTAAAAGTTGGCCCGGAACTGTTCTTCCCCTGGTATGGATTTTTGGTTGCCATAAGTAGATATGACTGTTTTTGATTTTTCACTTGTTGTTTTCATAACAATCAAAATCTACTCTTTAAAGGATTTTGGCAATAACTTAAGTCAATCAGATCATTCAGGTGTTGGAATATTCCAATGATAATGTTGAAATATGGTAAGGTGTTTCTGTTATTGTTAGTCATGATGATGTATTTAGTTTTACTGTTTAATTCTGCATTGTTATGGCGGTTGTTCTCAAAATGCTATGCCCCCTTGTTTGGACTTTAATGATGTTGAAGATTGAGGCTATGATGCTAATGTTTGCCAAGTTGCAACTTTTGACTGATGTGCCAAATTCAAGAGGCAAACAAGAAAAATGATTCTGACAGTGTTGTATTTTTAATATCTGTCTATATTTCTGTGCCATATTTCTTTATCCACTGTGCCATATGTCCTCAAGGACACATGGCACAGTGGATAAAGGCATTAGTTAGACCCAGTGACAGGACCCAAAGAGTGTGAGTTCAATACCTGATTAAGGTGGTGGAGAACTTGGAAAGGGCAATTAACAGGTGATAACTGATAACTGATATCCATTAGACATGGCACATGGAACTAGAACAGTCTACCCTAGCGAGTGAAATAAAAGTTCAGTTCGACATTCCAACCACATGAAGAAGGCCAGAGCGTACAACGGCCGAAATGTTGTGATAAATATGACAACAAAGATGAGGACAATGGTCCGAATAATGTAAATATTTTATTTTTAATTCTGCTATGGCTGACCTTGAAGCTAGCAATGTGTTCTCTTGACATTCTAGCAAAATGTTCAAAAACAGTTATGCTTTGAAAATGGGAAGCCATAAGTTGGGATGTCATAGCTAATTGAAGTAGATCTTTCATGGTCAAATTATTATTGTTGAGTGCCTTTTCTCTGAGCTTAGATGATTTTTAGCCAGCAATAATCTATGACTTAGATCTTTGCAGCCAATAGTCTGCAAATCCACAGGTTGGAGTTGTTTTACTTCATTGTAAAAAATCATCTAAATCATTTGTTTTAACTGATAGAAGATAAACTTCTGATATTCAATACTCTTTTGCGAGTTGAAATGGTTTTATGTTGCATTCACAACTTTGTTAAAGTGGGTTTCATCTACTCCAAATTTTAGATGTTCAGTAGGTCTCAGTTCAATGATATTATTCAAATTATCTCCCCACAACATCAGGAATAATGCTTATTTGAATTAGTCATCTTCAGCTGCATGAGGTGCAAAATAGTTGTTTAAAAATCTAACATACATTTTTTCCAGCTTACAACTCCAGCATTAATTTAACATTCAAAACTTGAGTATTGTAAATTAGTAAGCATATAGATGGGCACAAAGATCAACAAGAAGTCACCCTGACAACAATTGGCTCTCAACATCATCACCAATCTAATCTTTGTTTTTTGTGTTTTTTTATGCTTTAAATACAAACAGCCTTACATCAGATAAAAGGAGACAACCAAGGATGTTTACAAAGTCCATATTTAGATTGTCAAAGTCATGAGACATAGTGTAAATTTTTTTAAATACCCATATGCAAGTAGAAGTTGCTTCCCTTTGACTTCAAGTGGATGCAATCATCTTTTGTATATAACAATATACAACACATTCTTATGTAAGGACAATAAAACATATTCGAAAAGTTAGTTAATATTACATCAGAGTGGTGTTTAATAGTAAAACTATCCTTACAACTTTTTTAGCTAGAGTTGATCCCTTATAAGATGGAAAGTCTGATAAAAAAAACTGCATAACATATGAAAATGTATAAAAGGGAGAAAACCATCTATCGAACTGGAGGAACAAAAAATGCTGAGGTAGAAAATCCTATGGTGGGATATCTTTGAAGGGAGAAAGACGCACATTACTTCCCTTGGGATGAGATCCAGGTAATTGAGAGAGAACACTGGAAGTTGAACGAGGTAGTATTTATTGGCTTCCGGTGCATAAGTTGGATGAGTAGGGATATTAACGTTATATGGGTGTTGGGAAAACTCTCTCAACAGGTATAATTTGAAATTGCCTGAAAAATTGGTGTACCTAGCACTATTGAAATGGACTAGTCCAATTAGTATATTAATGACCATTTTCTGACATAGAGGTGTTACCTTAAGAAAAAATTTCCCTTTTACATAAAATACATAGGGCAGAGGAATAGACAAGCTGAAACTTGTTAATAGCAAGTATGTAAAGTGGGGTATCAATTGTTCTAAGCCACTTAGCTAAGACCCACCATTCTTTTATATTATATACAATAATAATAACACCTATTGATGAGCATTAAATTATATAATTTAATGCATTTCAAGGCAGGCAATAAATAAGACTGCTCAAATAATATCTAGAGCAATAATTATTTAAAAAAATGAAAAGTTCACAATGCTTATCTATGACTGATAAGTTTTACAGTATTAACACTCCTCAGAGTCAGAGAGTAATTGTATTATTTACAGAGTATATGTTTTTATAAATGTTATTAAATACACTTACTAAATTTGAAGATTTAGTTGTTGTTACCACAATGATTTAGCCAATCCATTCTCTGGATTTCTTGCTCAGTAATCCACACAAATCTTAAATTATGACTTCTCAAAATTATAGAAGTTAAAATTGTTAACTTTTTACGTAGAAACAAGTTGAGTTATGCTGTTGCTGTTAAGCTTGTTAGATAACTTGAAATATTTCAAATATATTTTCAAAATAATTTTTCTTTCCCCCTTAAATACTTTACATGCAACTTTAATATATTTTTTGTGTTAATTTCTATGAAAAAACATTAATGTTATTATCATTAAAGATATACATTGTACATACAGAATTTCAAGTGCAATAAAGTTTACCAACTTTGATAAAACTTGCTTAAGTTTGTATTTTGCTGTATCATCAAATTTCGATTAACACACATTTTTGTAGTTGTACATTTTCTTGTCTATTGTGTTAATAGTATTAAGTATTCAGATTATGTTCTTTGTGTGTTACATCACTGAAAAAAACATTTATATCCCCTTATTTGATGCTGTAACATTTTATCCTCTTCCAGGTGACAGCAGTGATGACAATGAAGAAGATATCCTTAGTTCTGTTAGTGAAGCAACTGATCCTGACGCAAAAACAGAAGAAAACACAGGAAAAGCATCAAAATCTCCGGAAGGCAAAATCCATCACTCATCTTCTGAATATGCCATCTACCTTTCAGGTATAGTTAAGCATTTAGTTCATTTTTATCTGTGACATTGCCATGTCTAATAGCATTGAAGAGTAGAATCATGTTATAATTATGCTTGTTCTTCCATTAGTTAGTAATTTAGTACATGTGTTACACCCTGTCATTACCCTAATTAGATTGTAAAAAAATTACAGAAGAAAAAATATATCAAAAACACTGTGTGGTTTCAGTGAAAGAAACAAAGTTTAATTAAAAGTTACAATAATTCATTAATGATATAATAATAAAATCTCTATTAAATTAAAAACTTACATTATATGCCGCAGAAAAATAATGGACCATTCTATTATTGATTGTAAGGAATAATGAAAGAAAGATATCAGATCCACTATGTGGTTTTAGTGAGGAAAAGGAAACACACAATAATAAGAAAGAAAAAGCAAATAGAGGAAGTGATAATGCTATCAGGTGCTTAACATCTGCTTCAGTGAAATGGAAATAAGGCAAAAGAAAGGAGAGGAATAGAAAGGCATGGAAAATAGAGAAAGGAAAGAAAGAAAAATTATTTGTAACAATAAAATGGACATATATTATTTTTATCTTTTTATAATTCTATATATCTAATATATTTTCCTCAATATTATTCATATTTCATTGATAATTATCCTTCATTAATGAAATCTACTTTAGGTGGTAATCAAAATATAAAGAGAAAATTGACAATAACTGGATATAAAATGATAAATTGTTTCTCATATTTTGTTAAAGTTGTTAAGCTAAAATTATTAATATTACAATCATAGAATTTCTATGGGTATTTTATAATTGGGAAATTACAAGGAACATATCCAATAATTAAATTAAGAATTGACTCATCAGAAAAGTACAAACATGAAAACCATGAAATTTTCATTGGCATAGTTAGTTTTATTTTTAATCCCCTTCTCAGTTTTAATGGATTATGAGATGAAATATAGAAGTGTTGTCCATTTATATGGTCTGTCAAGCAATTTTTTCAGATGAATGTACTTCTGACAAAATTTTTAAGGTAAACAAGAAAATTTTTCATGATAACAATAATTTACACAGACAAATGAGCAAGGGCGAACTCCCATTAACAGAGGCTTTGTGTAGAGTAAGTGGCTGTGATTAAATATAATTGGCAGAACTGCCTAAAAAAACAATAACAAGAGAAAAAGAAAAAAACAGGCCAAAAATAATATTAAGCAAGCAAACAATATATGCAAGGCAAAGCAACAGTAATATAGCAAAAAGTTTACAAACTAAGAATGGTGTTAACACACAAAGGGGGATACAAACAAGTAACTGATTGCAGTGCTCTGGCTTCAAGACAAGACCAGAACTAAAGCAGATGAGACCAAGTAGTAGTCTATCTTATTGGCTAGGAAAAAATCCCAGCATGCATCTGTGTAGTTTTTGCCTATAAATTTGGAGAGGGGGGATGTTTTTGCAGTTATTCCCACAAAGATTGGGGCATTTCGATGTAGTGTAATGGTTAGCAAGCTTGTCTCACTCGATCAATTACAACCAACTAATGAGCCTGATCACACTTTTGGTCTTGTGCCACATCTAAGCTATGCTTAGAAAATCATTTTTTCCCCATGCTTTATGTCGTTATGTTTGAACTTTTCCTTTACAAGTTGAGGGTGAATCCACTCCTTCGTGGAATTACCTTGCTTGGTGATAACACCTCAGCTAAGTATTCTGTCTATGCTGATGATGTGTCTGTGCTCACAAAGAGCACCACTGAAGCAGATAGCAAAGAAATATGCAAGTATGCAGGTGGGTCAAAATCAACCACGATAAGTCTGTTGGCTTGTGGCTTGATGAGTGGAAGGGAGTTTCTTTTCCCAGGCCCTTCAGTTGGACAAATAGGGCAGTCAAGATACTTGGTGCCTGCTTCAGTCCCAGCTACAACTGGAAATGAATTTGGCAGATGTTTGGAAGAAGGTTGATGAAGCAGTGTGTCTATGGACTCAAGGGAATCTTTGGGTGGTGGTGGGGTAGAAGTTTGGACTTCTTTCCATTCTTCCACTCCCATATACCAAACTAATGGACATTTTTTTGGCTTCCTCCGAGAAGTCAAGTCTACTATGGTATATCGGGAGGTTTGCTGCTTCCATACTATCAGAAACAGTTTAGAATGTTGTCATTGAAATTCATCAACATACACTCCGCTTGAATTTCCTGGTCTGAATGTACTCACAACAGGACAGAAATGGCAGTTCTTGAAGGAAGATTCCTGCCAAGCTTTTCTGTTCCTCAAAAGTGTCCTTTTATCTTTTAGTTCCAAAATGCACTACACTACCTCTTACAAATGAATGATTGCTTCACTGATACCAGAGTGTTGTATCAAGTGTTAGTAATGGGTGCTGCTAAAGATGGTCTGATTAACATGCTTGATCTTACAAATTTTGCTCCATTTACCCTTAGGCACCCAGGTTGAAATGCCTCAGTAATGATGAAGCATCACTCCCCTGGCTGGTGTTGTGAGATGCCCTCTGGGTTAGCAAAAACTTTACGCAGCAAGGCTGGCATCTTCACCAGTTAGTGTACTGCAATGATTGGGAGGAGTCCATTGGACATGCCTTCCTTCACTGTCATATGCCTACTATGCGAGTTGATTGAAGGATACATGTTCTGCATGTTTGTCATAGAAACCGGTTCCATTTATGTCAATGTGCTATCGTCTCTGAAAAAGGATCAGCATTAGGTGCTCCTTGTACCTGCTCAGCATTATGTGAGTCATAATGTGGATGACAAGAAAAAAAGAAGTTTCATAGAGGTGAGAAGTTCTCCTCTTCTCTACTGATCAGTTTAAAGTTAAGATCAAAGTGGAAAGGGTGTGACTCTCTCCATCAAAATTCAGCAAAAGGTGGGTGAGAATTTTGCACTTGGTGAGAGTGAGAGGGCTGAACTAGAGTGGTTATTGTTTGTCTTTTTGGACCATTTTGGTTTAACTTAGCTAGAGTATAGAAGTGCATATGCCATTTATTTCTCTCCCCTTCATTCATGTTATGCTCCACTGCAATGAGATCTCTTTCTGATTTACTCTACATGTCAGCCAGATGTGAGCACCAAGAAAGCAAAGTAAAAAATAAAAATAGTCATTTTCTGTGCATGGGCTCTGAGCATCATATCCAGTCCATGAAACAAATTCCCACAATGAAAATAATACAACAGCCAATCACAAACGTTCCTGCCAGAAAAAGAGATGACCCCTCATAATGACCAACATATTTGCAGGCCAAAAGGCCACCTGCTGACACACATGTGCACTGTCACCATCTCCACCATGATCACTTCTCTCATCACAACAGTGACCTCACCCACTAATCTCATCTGACTCTTTACATGTGGAATGTGGTCACCAGGCCAGCTTTAACACTGCCAGGCATCTGACACCAACCACCATGATTTATAACACCTCAGCGTCATCACAACCCAGCTCTAGGCCACCTTTGTCATCACCAGCATGACCCCAACACACCTCACAACAATCAACCCACCTTACCACTCATTTGCAGGCCATTGTTGCCATCACTGCCATGATTACTACTCACCGTTACCACCTTTCAATGCCTTAACTATCTACTTGATGCCTCTTTTGTTATCACCATTATGACCCCAATCTCATTGATACTACTTTCAATCAGAATCCAACAGACCTTCTGTTCAATTAATGTTCACTAGCTACACCTAATCCCTCGTCACCCTTGCCATAACCTCAGCAACCAATGTGCCTTACCACCAATGTGACCTTGGTCGATCAACACACCAACCCATTTTACCAGGTTTTTTGGCTTCAATATCTCAGCATCACACAACTGCAAGCCTATCAAACACCATCACATATGTTGATTTCAACATTAAAAAAAAGTGTGCGTCAAACCCCACCAGTGGCTAATCCACTATGGACCTATCATCTGATCCCCAACTGTGACATCATCCAAACCAACCCAAGAAATTGATCAACTCCTGGCACTACCAACAACGCCCTTACACCTAATTGCTTTCCTGACAAACAGCAACCAAAAACAACCTATTAACAAATTACTAACAACTATGTATATATTATGTATATTTAACAAATACACACTGTTGAAAATTTAATCCTTGTTATTCCTTGCCTTTGCAACCAAATGCTCATTATAACATTCTTTTATAACCCAACCTTTCCCTCTGTTAGGTGACAGATTTCTCAGTTCTCTGGTGGATGTGAGACATTTTAGGAATTTTTTTTTTTTTTTTTTTTTTTTTCCAAGTCTTGCATTGTTTCACCCCATTAACTGAAATTTGAGTATTAGATTTTTGTGTGGAGGTCAAATATAATTTTGTTTAGCTTTGTAGATATTTTTTCATTGTATAAAATCATTGGGGTTTAATATTTTTCCTCTCTCCTCCCATAAATTGTATATAAAAATTGTACATGAAAATTTTAGTTTGGGATTTTCACTGAGAAAAAGTGGCATTTTGGTGACTGTAGTGCAATGATTAAGAGTAAATATCATGTTTTGATGGATGAATTATTATATGTATGGATGAGTCAATGACTGAGACAAGGTAAATTTAAGTTAAGACTAGTGAAGACCAGCCTTCCCCATTTTGGCCTTGTGCCACATTTGTAAATTTTTGCAATAAATATTAATTCCCACAAAGATTGGAACTAACAAGCTTCCTCATAAAGAACATGTAACAAGACTATGCCAAGAAGTCATGGCAATTCACAGATAATCTGTGAAAAACAATTTCTTACATTCTGAAGGAGTATGACATTTAAAAATAATGTCAATTTTCAGAAAAAAGATTTTAAAAATGTATACTGTTATGACTTTTTAATTCATACTTAAAATTTAAAATAATTTTTTTCTTTTAAGCTCTGAACAACAATGGGGATGATAACTCTGACGAAGAGGAAGTGACTGACAATAAATTTTCATGTTTGGAAGAGCAACGTGCAAAATTGGAAGAACTTGTGGGAACAGAACTGCTGAAAAAAGTTTATTGGACAGCACATGTAAGGCTCTAATTTATTCCTTTTTATTCTGCCAAAAAGATCAGAAAGAGGTTAAACTTTAACTTGCATCTTTTTTTAAGTTGTCTTTTGTAACAGAAAGTGATATATTTTCAGATTCTATGATTTAAGATATATTTAATTTTAGTTTAAAGCACAGTGCTTTAATTAAACCACATTGTTTGAAGGTCTACTGCATTATGTTTGATTGACAATAAACTACACCTGGCAGCAAGGTCTCTGATTGGGAGATTGGAGGTTTCAAGGAGCATGGAACCACATCTTAATTGCTGTTGTTCCCAGGTCTACTCTGACCAGGGGTGGTAGCACCTGTTAGTGTCTAGTGAACCTCCAAACAAAAACAAAATTCTATTAAAGTGTAGGAATACATTTTTATAGCAATATGACTAGTAATACATTTTATCTGTAGTTGAAGCCATAAGATTGTGCTCAAAATATTTAGATTCCAGCATTAAATAACTCATAGAGGTGTTGATATGCCACTAAACAAAATCAGCCACACAAACAACATGAAAGAAATCTTTCATGACATTAATCTATATGATATCCTACAATTTCTTAATGAAATCAAACTGTATTCCAAAATATAACTTACAACATAAAACTCACATCTTCACCTCTCATAATTATGTCCACACAAGCATGTATATGCACAAAAGCTGAGTATCATCTACCATGTATTCAATCGTGAAAGCAGAATAACATATTTTTATCCAAAGTTTCCCCAAAAATTAAATTTCGACATTAAATGACACGTAAGGATTTTATGTATGTGTCATTAAACAAACAATTATGTTTGATGATACACTTAATTAACCACTCTCCTACTTCTGTTGAAGCATTATTAGTTAAGACAGTATTTCATAATTAGAAATGAAAATACTTTAGTAGTTTAATAAAGAAAATGGTTACACGTTCTGAAATTCTCTAAGAAAAACACTTAATATGAGAGAAAAGAATGACCAATTAAAAAGGGTTTCAGTTTAGAATTCTGGGAGCTTACCATATACAACAGATAGCCTATATGAAACTGCTTCAACCATTGGACAGGATACATGTCAGTGGGTCATATGCAACAATCTCAACTACAAGGCTTTATAAAATTTTATTAAAAAAAATATATGCTACCAGTTAATGAAATAAAATTTGAATATTTTTAAATTTGATAATTAGTCCAGTACATTTCTGCAACTCATGTATTATCATAAGCATTTAACTCATGATGTGTTAATAAGTTTGTAATATTTAATATACTTCTTTTGCTTTGTACTTTTTAGGCCTTTTTATATCAATGAAAGTCACTTACCTCATCAAACAAAATTCCCACATGTTCCATGTATTCTCTGCCAAAAGTAAAAATTTGAACCATGTCTCAAGCTCATTGATAAAAAAAAAATCATCAGGATATGCAAATTTGTTATCTGACCAATGATGAGTGTCTCGAGTACCTACATAAACCACAATAATTGAGTGCCAGAGTGAGCTGTTCTAAATGCTCATGCATGTTGGCAACCATTTGGATGTTGATGACCATTTGGTGAGCATAGTTTCAACCATCGGTGATCTTGCACAAATTCTTTCAATTACAGCACTTAGAAGAAATGATGTGAGATGAGACACTGCAGCCATTGTCACATTATGCTTTGTTAAATGTGAGTTGTGTCCTGCCAAACACATATGTCTACATACTTACATTGGAAATAAAATTTGAAAATATCAATTCAGACATTCCTACTTTAGGTTTTCAGCAAAACTCAGGCAGCCATGATGATCTAATTTTTTCCTTTTTTATTTCTATTTTGATGGAATGAAAATCAAGCAAATCTTCATTTTTGAAATTTCTTTTACTGTAAGCAAACTTTTCAAAAATGCTAAAAAAATAATTTAAAGCTATAAAAACAAACTGAATAAATTATTATTTGCAAGAATGCATCAGTAGATCCAAAATATTTCTCTGTTAATGTTACATTTTCAATATGGATTATTATTATTATTGTTTTATTTCCTTTGGTTTCTAGTGTATACTCATTTCTTTCTGGGTCCCAACCAGAAATCTAAGGTCAGAAATGGCATCATAACATTTTCCACTGAGCAGTTTAAAAAAAACAAAAAAACACTCACATATTTTACATAGATAAAGTCCTTTGTAAGGTGTGGGCTGTACTTGTGAGTACAAGTTTTTTGTATTTCTTTAAGGCATGGGCTACCAGGGATTCCTTCAATGTGTTTACTGGAATCTTTTCCAATCAATCCATGAGCTCCAAATACAAATGGAATGGTTAATGTCCTCATGTGCCACATTTTTGAGATTTTGATTTCAAGGTCCTTGTATTTTGATAATTTTTTTGAAGATCTTCAAAGATACATTGTAGTCTGCAGGGGCTGCCATGTCAATAAAGAGGTACATTGTCTTTGCAGACTCTAATCATGATGTCAGGCCAATTAGCTTTGATTGTTCTGTCTGTGTGTATTATAAACTCCCATGAGATTGTTACAGGTCCATAACTGGTTCTGGGTGGTGTTCATACCAATTTCTTGCAGTTTCCTTTCCATAAAGGTTGCAGATTTTCCAGTGCAGATATTGGCCCACTCTGTCATGCTGTATTTTATATTCAGTGGGTGCCAATGCCATAAAACCTGATACAAGATGGTCAATTGTTTCTGAATATTTTTCAGTATGTGTGCTTGATTACCAAAAATTAGTCCTGTGCAGCAAGAATAAGATGTTCTGTTTCAGCTTTTAATCCTGCACTATGTAGCCACTGATGGGTACAGGGTTTGTCTACATCAGCTTGTATGATACGGGCAGAGTATTGACCATAAAGTGGTTTATCTTGCCATAATTTCTGTATCTAGTTGGTTGTATTTGCCTTTGTTTTCTTTTTTAAGTATTTTGCAGCTTCAGTTGGTTTATTATGCTTTACTTGTATTTCTTCACTCACTTGAAACTCCATTTTTAACTTTTTGGCTTCTTTTATTACTGAATAAAGTCTCTTACTACTTTCATGTTCTTTGACAGCAATCATTATCCAGTCTTCTGTAGTTTCTAGGTATCTTTGAAGGCCAATTGTTGTAGTTTTGTAAGACAGTTCTAGTTGAACTAATCCTCTGCCTCCTTTGGATCTTGGCACATATAGATGATCAACATCAGCCATGGAATGATGCATGCAGTGGCAGGTGAGAAGCTTTCTCGTTTTGGTGTCCATTTGCTTAATGTCAGCTGAGGGCCAGTTAAGAGTGTTGAAACTGTATTGCACCAAGGGACAACCAAGATGTTTATGGCTGATATTTTGTTTTTTGAATTCAACTTGATATTCAGTACCAGACGCACACAGCTGTAGTACTCCTTTCTTATCTTCTCCATTTGAGTATACTGTATTCCATTTCCTTTGCTAATTCCTAGATACCTATAGGCTCCTTCTTGTTCCAGTTCTCAAATCTTTGTGCCAAAATCTAAATCTATTGAGTGTGTATATGCAATTCTCCCTTTTTTGAATGTTACTTTTGCACATTTATCTACTCTGAAATCCATAACTGAAAGATTTTACAGTATTGAGGAAACTCTTCATTGTTTTTGGCAAAGAGTTTGAGATCATCCATGTAGAGTAGATGATTGAATACTTTCTTGTTTAGTTTGTAACCATAGTTATTATTCTTTAGTTCATGCATAAGGGGAATTAAGGACATACAAAACAGAAGGGGTGACAGGGAGTCTCCTTGAAACAGTTCTTGTTGGACATTTAATCGGTTGGAGATGGCAGTGCCTCTGGTGTGATTTAGGTATAATGTGGTTTTCCAAATTCCCATGCTGTGTTTAAAAAAATTTACTATCACAGGTGAGACTTTGTACATTTCCAAAGTTGTAAGTATCCAAGAGTGTGGGACACTATCAAAGGCTTTACAGTAATCTGTCCATACTGTGCTAAGATTTCTACATAGTCTCCTGCAATTTTCCAAGATCATTTTGTTTATCAGTAGTTGATCTTTGCAACCATATGAACCTCTGTGGCATCCCTTCTGTTCCAGTGGAGGAATGTTGTTTGTTTTGAGAAAAGAGTAAGTATGGTTTGTCAGGACAGATGTGATCAATTTATACATTGTCATCTGTTCCACTTGTTTTTGGCATGAGATATGTTTATTATTATATGTTTTTTATTATTATTAATATTATTATTCTTAAAGTTCCACTTATATTTGGCAAATGAAATAGCTTTTCATGAGATTTGTCAGCTGTTTGTAATTTCTTATTAATCTTGCCCAACAATCAGAAAGAATGGTTCTGATTATGTTTCACTATCTTAACACAGGATGAAGAAACATTGATTCAGATATAAATTTGCTTTATTTTCACAACTGAAATGCTAAGTAATAATTATACAAGGTAATGGGACACGATTTATTTTTAAAATAAGGTATGCATCAATTTATAGGATTAACATTTTTTCAATTTAATGTTAATTATGTTTAGCTTCTACAAAGAAAAAAGTTTCAAATATAAAAAGATGTTCATATAGTCCAAGATATCAGAGGTATATTTTATCCAAATCCAGAGCTATTTCAATCAGCATAATGATGGAGACATGCATTTATTTTACCCCAAAACTCTATTTTTTCACCATAATCTCCTTTGTCAATGCACTTATTTCATTGGTGAATATTATCATATAGTTGGAACACTATCTAGAGAAAATTTCAGATCGAAATTCAGTTAATAATTACAGGTCAGACTGATCCACTTTTGTATATCAAAACTTAACATTCACTCCAATGATTACCTATTTTATATTGATATAGAGGGCCTTGAGAAGTTTTTTTATATCAAAAGTAATCAACCAACACTGAACAAAATTTATTATGAGTTTGTAGCCATGTTTTAAAATTTATTTGAGTTAACTAACATTTAATACCATGTTGCAATTTGTCATCTCTAGTTACCCATGTTGCATTGGGAATGCTAGTTTACAAAACATTGTAACCACAATGATTAATTTTAAAATAATTATATCAGAGCATGTTTACAAAAAATCACCATCACAACAATTACAATTACATTACGTTTGTCTTCACAATTCACCCCGAGGATGATCTCAGAGGAGCTTGAAAGTATTTTTGTTAATAGGAACTACAGTGCCTTCCTTGATGAATTTCAATTTAACATCAAGAAGATAATTAGAGAACAAAAATGTATTGGTCTAAAAATAAATAGACATAATATGTCTATATTATTTAATGAAATTATATATATATATATATATATATATATATATATATATATATATATATATATGATGGACTCTCCCATTGATTTTAACATGTGAGGATCCAACAACCTCATTCAGTTTTCATGATTGTGTCATATGTGACACTTTAGTCCTGTTAGTGGCCTGCATACAAGTCCACATATTGTGTACCAGCGAGGATCTCAGGACATAGCTACAAGAATATTTGCTCTCTTTTTTGCCATTGTCTTTCATCTCTTAGCTGGTCAATAGGACTGATTTAAAAATTTCTGACACTAATCTATCTCCAGTTATTTCTCTCAAAGTTAGTATGAAGAAAGCTGAGAGCTTACAAATATTACTGACAGAATTGTGCTATTAAATATATAGATAACCTTTAGGGAGCTATTCTACTTATAATCCAGAGGCAAAGTAAATAAGTAAAGAAGCTCATAGTCTTGAAATTTTGACATGTTTTAAGTACATTATTTACATTATTCGGACTATTGTCCTCATCTTTGTCGCCATATTTATTACAACGTTTCGGCTGTTGTATGCTCCGGCCTTCTTCAGGTGGTTGGAATGTTGAACTGAACCCTTTATTTCACTCACTGGGGTAGACTGTTTTAGTTCCACGTGCCATATTTAATGGATGTCAGTTATCAGTTATCTCCTGTTAATTTTCCCTCTGAAAGTTCACCACTGCCTTAGCAGTGGGTATTGAACTCACACTCTTTGGGTTCTGTCACTGGATCTAACCAACACCTTTATCTACTGTGCCATGTCTTCAGCAACCATTTTTACCAGTGCTCATATTGCAATTTTTGCTGTTATCATTGCAACTTTGTTGTTATTACTGCTTTTCTCTGGCACTCCTTATTACTGGTTCCCATATTGTATTTATTTCTATGCTTGGTCAGCTCAGGAGATTTTTGTGGCCTAGCATATGTGCTGATTCCTTAAGTTTGGTTGCTGAAGTCATTAGGTTTATAATACCCAGACATTCATACACAGATGTCCTCAAGGTTGGATCCAGTGACAGAACCCAAAGAGCATGAGTTCAATACCTGGCTAAGGCAGTGGAGAACTTTCAGAGGAAAATTAACAGGAGATAACTGATAACTGACATCCATTAAACATGACACGTGGAACTAGAACAGTCTACCTCAGTGAGCGAAATAAAGGTTTCAGTTCGACATGGCAACCACCTGAAGAAGGCCGGAGCATACAACGGCCAGAGCGTACAACAGCCGAAACGTTGTAATAAATATGGCAACAAAGATGAGGACAATAGTCCAAATAATGTACATATGTCATCTCAGAAATATAGACAGATGTTTTAAGTAACAAAAATAATGTCTGCCAGCCAAATACTAATGAATTATGTAATGGCCTTTACCATGTAAAATGTTAAAAATTACTTGTAAGAATTGTTTGAATTTCGAACTTATTCTTTGTTTTTGTTACATTTCAGCTCTTTTCCACAGTGCCTTTTTAATGTGTATAATCTATAAGGAAAGAAATAAGTCTCTTTTTGCAGAGAAAAATTTAATTATAAATTGTTATTAAAAAAACAAGGTAATAAGAATGTTTACGTTTGCACTAATGTCTTTGTTTTCTTACCTACAAATTTACTATGACTAATTTTTGTAGAACCACCTACAAAAGGAAGACCTCCAAGATGATGTTATCATCAAGATGCTGGGAGAGAAATCTGTCTTTTATCCACGTATTGTTCAACTTGTAATAGCTGATACAGCCTTCTCAAATGGTAAGTTTCTGTTAATATTTCCATTAGTATTTATACCATGTGATTATTACAGATTGTAAAAGTACATGAGTAACAACTCATAAAAAAACCTCCTTTATGATTTAGTCAGTTTTCTTTTCTCTGTGTAATGAGTTTTGTTAATTTTCTGTTTCAAAACTTCTGCAGCAAATTTCTAATAGAAATTTAAATGCTGATGTGAGTAGAGATTATTTGTACCAATTAATGACATAATATTCAGTTGGAAAACTTGAAATTTTAAACTTATGTATCTATCATAAAGTTCATTTCTTTATTTCATCTGCTGGCTGGTCTTTGTGGCATGATCAAGAAAACACTGTTCTTGTTCAACAGGCTCTTAAAAATATGGGATGCAAGTTCAAATTTCTTTGGAAGCTACTCCCTAATTTCCAAACTGTACCACTTACCTAATATTCATAGAATGTAAGAATGATCTGAATATTGCAATAAAAAGCAGCAAAAACAATATGAAAGAAAAACTAGTCAAATATTATGAAGGATAATTATGTCTTCATTCCATTGAATGAAGATAATACAATCATGAAATATAGAGATGCTTGAAGGTGATGTAGTCTTACTGAATTCTGTAGTAAGGCTATAAGGCTCGCTCTCTGCTAACAATTGTCGGCATCAGTATATATTCTATTTGGATGAGTCCAAGTCATATTTTCAAGAGGTGTGTTCATCTCAACAACACCCTCCTTTTTAGATATGCACTTTCTTTAGTTGATACTTTTTCCAACATGAGTCTACTTCCAATGTTTCAGCCAGATTATTATTGTAATATTAGTTTTAGGAATAGGTACTTCAAAGGTATCGTAAAGTATGTCCATCAGTGAATTAAATTGTATTAGTTGCTCATTCTGTGCATATCTAGAACTTTTCTATGTTGATATTGTCCTCCTTTGACAATGTACATCATACTACCAAGGTGTTGGATAATTTTTCCTTCCTGACTTTAAAGCTTTTAAAGAAGACTTAAATGATCTGGTAGCTTCAAATTTTTGACTTTCTTTTTATTCCCTGGCAGTAATTTGTAAAAATGGATCTAATTTTCCCAGCAAACATGAGCTCTGCAGGTGACATTTTCACGGTGACATTATTCACTATACACTCAAAAAATTTTGTAGTGCTGTTTCTTCAGCTTCCAGTCCATTAGCTTTTCTTAATACCCTTTTGAAGGTGTCAACAAACCACTTGGCTTGACCATTCGACCTTGGATGATAAATCAACGTGTCAAATATTCAACTGTGTAGTTTATTCAAAAAAATTTTAAACTCACTAGAAATAAATTGATTTCCATTATCAGATACCACACTGTCAGGTACTACAAACATTGTAAAACATTTGTGTAAGAATTTAATCGTTATTGCAGTAGTAGGTCATTCACACTTTAACATATCGTGCCATTTTGTAAAACTGTCTACCACAATTAAATAGTATGAACTGTTTAGCGGCCCAGCAAAGTCCATATGTTGTCTTTCCCACAGTTTATCAGTGGTTGGCTATGCCTGATAATATTATAGGTGGTGATTTTTCTGCTGAATTACAATCATTACATTTTCTGACTGTATTTTGAAAATCTTTGTCCAACAGACATAGCTTCTCATCAGGTAGTTCACCCTCACTATTCCCTGATGCTCTATGTGGAATCGTTTCAAAATTATTTTTGTAGTGATAATGGAATTACTATTCTTTCCACGTACAAAAGTACTCCATCACAAGTAGAAAATGCTGTATTATTGTTATCAGATTTAATTTTAGTTTTACTCCATTTCAACATCATTCATAGTTTTTTGAACAGACGTGTCCTTTTTAGAATTAATTTTAATACCATCTATCATGACTGGCAATTCTTTAATAGCGTTAAACACCAGGCTTTTAATTTCACGTTCAGATTGCAGCAAAGCAATCACAGTATCTTCAAAATCTTTACATTTCGATATCACTCTGGAAAAAATTTCATTTGGCAACTATATCCTCTGAAGTTGGTAGGGGGTATACATGTGGTAGAAGGCAGTCATTCAACCCATTCAAAAAATGTGCACATAAACGAATCTTATTTTTCTTTCTAATATAAACCATTGACATGACCTGTTCTAAATAATCAATTTTTTCAATAACTCCGCAGTTTTCTAACCTATCAAGTTCAATGTTAATAGACTCCAATGCAGCAAAAGACAGCTTTCTTTTAGTCTTAAAAACTGGTATCACATTTTATATTAATTTGAAAAATACATTTGACTTTGTATATTTTTCCAACTCCTCTGAGGAAATATTTGTGAATTTGTTTAGTTTACTCAGTATTTATCTAGCTGTAATCTTTTTCTCTGATGAACAATTCATTTTTCCACAGAATAAATTAACACATCAATTCCATAGTTCAAATAATTCTAACCAATCAATGCCTAGTAAATTCAAGTTGGAATCTTTTAATATGTAAACATTTTTTTTAAGTTTTACCCACAAGAGCAATGTTACACATAATTTTCCCCCCAAGTTAAGCTTGCCAATTCTGTTCATTGTATAGTGCTTGAGTGATGTTTGCAATATGTCCACTTTCCCAGGCTCCCCACTAGCCTTGTTTATATTTTTACTGTTCAGGCATGTGCCAGGTTAGTCCATTTCATAAATGGGTTACCAGTATTGTTCTCATGGATGTCCCTCCATATGGTGTCTGCCTGTCCTACTCTACAAGCCCCCCCTTCCAAGGCATTTGGGTTGTGGTCCATTGCAGGGAGGTCTTCGATGATAGTTCAAAGTGGTCATGACATAGACCCTGGTTTGCTGGTGGTTCATTTGTTTGGTGTTGGCTTTCATCAACCTCCATTATCATGGGAATTTCCATCCTCTCCAAGCCACCTGTGTACTCTACTTCCATTTCATCTTGTGCAGTACCTCGGGGTTCAGGCTGGTAATACATAGGTCACAGTTCCACATATCAAGCTGTGCCAACAGGTGTGGTCCATTCATTGGGTTGTTGATATTGGGGTCCAGGCCTCATTGGGTCATCTGATGTATCCAGTATCTGGAGGGACAGCCTCTGGTGTGGGTTGGTACAGGGTGGTACGAGGTGTCCACAACTGGTTTAGCTTTCAGAAGAAGTGGCAGTTGTGCCAGACCTCCCAGTTGCTCCTGGCAATGCATACATGGTATTGTCTATTGCCTAGTGCCTCTACAAGTCTCCCAGTTTTTGCCCATCAACATGGGTATGGACTGGCTTGCTTCTATATCTGAACCAATCCCTCAATCTGTAACTCCTGAAGTGGCCAATTGTGTATGTCATAACACTTTTCATTCTTCATATTCAAATGTATTCACACCATCCTTGATTTCTCGTGCAATCCTTTTTGATTCATTGAATATTTGGTTGAGTGGTCCCAGTAGAATTTCCGGTCCTTTGTTTGTAGCAATTCCCAGAAAGGGGGCATTATCTCATCTTGGGAGAATGTATATGAGACTTGGTTCACAAGTTCGAACCAGGATCTGACATTGGTGATGTTTTTGGGTGTAGGGAACTGCAGGATAGCTTCCGTCATCCTCTTAGTGGGTTTTATCCCATCCTCTGTTATATGGAACCCAGCAAAATCCAACTCTTTTTCTGTGAAATGAAATTTCTCCAGGTTGAAGACAATGCTGATGTTGCCACAGTGGGTAATATAGTCTACCATGTGCCAAAATGATGCTTCTATGGAGTCATTCCAGAGTATGCTCTCATCGATACATTGTTTTTTTTTTTTTAACCATATTGATGGTTATATCATCAATGAGTATATGCATCCCCTGACATGTGGAATTGAAGATATTAATATCTGCCTCATTCAGTGATGAACATAGTTGTGTCACATGCAGCTGGGGTGAGGGAAAGGCTATGGTACCCATTCCATACATCCAGGACAGTTCTTCTCATGTGTGCTGGGACCATTGAGGCCTGATTAAACAAAGATGGGGTATGGTGGGTCTCCCTCATGATAGCAGTGTTGAGCTTCTGTAAGTCTACCATGCGTCTGGGTGAGCCATTCTTTTTAGAGGCAACCACCATCCTAGAGCACCAGATTGTGACATACCCACCGGCATTGATTCAATAATGCCCACAGCAACATCCCAGTCGATGTCCTGCTTAACCTTCCTTTTCCAATGATTTGGAACTGGGATTGGAGTGTGGACTGCTGTTGGTGTTGTCCATAGAATGAAGGTGATGCTTAAGGTTTTCCCTTCATTTTGGTACTATCTTTTTTCAAACTACTTGTACTTCTGATGTTCCATTTTGTTCAATTTTCACTGTATCATGCCTTAAATTGACAATTTTTGGCACTATTTTGCAACAGTCTATATCATTAACTTTGAATCCTGTTCAAATTTTGTAAGGATTCGAGAGCATATTTCCACATCATTGCTATCATGATGTTAGACCTTTAACGAAGATTAGACATTTAAATCTGTCTAGGGATAACTAGTCCAATTTAAATTTCTTACACTCACAGTTGACTTTACCAGCATATGTGACAAAATCTTGCCACTGTTATGTCTTAATTCCATTGAATGAAGGTAACACAATCATGAACTATAATGTCACTTGAAGTCAGCATAGTCTTACTAAATTCTGTAGTAAAGATCTAGCTCTCTGCTGACGATTTTCAGTGTCAGTATATATGTTATTTGGATGAGTCCAAGTCATATTCTGGGGAGGTGTGTTCATCTCCACAACAATCTAAGTAATTTGAAGAACTTAAGACTTTTAATATTATTTTTATACTGAATTTTGTGCTTTGTAGGTTTGTTTCTTTTGGGAGCTTTCTTAAAAGTAATTCACTATTTCTCTCATGAGGCACAGATCATTTATTTTTGTCCAGAAATTTTTTTTTTCTTTTAATATCTTTACATCAAAATGGAATTATTTTTAAGTGTGCATTGCATGCAATTCCTGGTCTTTTCTGGTTTTCGTAAGAGTTTCAAAGTCTTGATTACCTGTAGAAACTGAGGAATTCTTTATTTACTTGAAATAATTAACAACTTTGGACTGGGATATTTTCGTGATATATCTACCAAATATTTTGTCAGCTGCTCCAGGACAGTCATTGCTTTCTTCAAATTTTCTTCAGTCACTGATTCATGGTCTAAATAAGAAAACCTAGGACAAAGAAATTCTTTTACACAATATCTTGTCAGCTGCTCCAGGAAGAAAGACATTTCTGATGAGATATAATCCACTCTGAAGTGGTTAATTTCTTTGTTTTCTATCTTTTTAAAATACCAAATATGAAACTGTAGAAAATAAACTGACATGATCCACTTATGACAATTTTAACACAATGATTGTTGGTAAAAATTACTTAATCTTCATATAATAGTTTCAGCTAAAGGTAGCAGATTACCTGACAGAAACAATAAAATCTAATTATTGCTAGAACATCCTGTTAACAAAGGACAATAAAAAAGAGGGATCAACAACTAAAAGTGTTGAGTAAATTTAGTCTGAAACAAAACCAAATGGGGGTCAGAGAAAAATTGTGCTAATTTACCAATTTGAGAAAATCAGTATTCAAAATCCTTGCTTTTCACCTGGATTTGAATAACAACTGCTTATGTCAGAAAGTAATATCATATATAATAAAAATTGGAGCCAAGCAATTTCTGATTCAAAATCATTTATCATTATTTACATGTGAGATATTGTTCTCATCTTTGCTAAGTAATATCCTGGTCTGTTCAGATATTTCATGTTCTAGCAGTTGTGGAGAATAACAGCAACAAAAGATGAGAACAATAGTTCACATATAAATAGTGTAAATGAAAAAAATGACTTTCGTTGCTACAGATAACATTTTTTTTAGATAGTTGAATCTCTTCTTGTCTTTGATATGGTTAACACAATGTTTTGACTGTCAAAAAAAGAAACTCTCTCTTTCTGTAGGAACACTACACCTGATGGAGGCTATTGAATGGATGAGCTGACACATGTTGATAATATCAAGGACAAGAAAAACAATCTATTGTTGAAAAAAAGAAAAGCTATAAAAAAAAAATATGTAATGTTTATTGTTAACAAATGCTAAATGCAGTGGCTATCCCCATTACAATATCAGCATAGAAAATAGGACTTTATTCATAAAAGATTTTGCTATACATTTGGTGAAACATGACAATTATTATTCACTATGAATTTCTGGATCCTGGGGAAAAAACATTTCAACAGACCTTTGTTCACAAATATTTATAGCTTTGGTGTTTAGAAATGGTTAACTGAAAAAGAAAATAAAGTCATGAGGCTGGAATGTTTTATCTGCTACTCTATATTAACTAGAATGAGAATTTTCAGATAATTATTTGTTTAACTCATGAGAACATTTTCTTAATGCCAGGATATTAAAAAATAAAAATGATCTCATTTCACATGTCAGCTTTCTTTTCATCAAAAAATCTTAGAATTCTACTGATTGGATATAGAAAATTTACCTTTTCATTGGACAACTCTAATTGCTAATAACTGCTATTATGTCATTGATTAATAACATTTAAATTACATTTATATTAAAATTTAATTACCTACCAAACAACATAATATAAATTATATAGATTAATTAATTTTTTTACCCTAACACCCCTTATACTATATAGAAAAACTAAATGATATTCTGGATCAATACCCAAATTGGGCCCACATATATACCGATGGCTCCAAAGTCAAAAACAAAGTAGGATGTGCGGCTATCTTTAAAAGTACTGTTCTACAGAAAAGATTACCTAACAACTCCTCAATTTTTAGTGCTGAAATTACAGCCATTGATTTAGCTCTAGACCTCATCACTAAACTTAACTCAAATAAATTCATTATTTTTGCAGACTCATTATCAGTACTCAAATCATTAAAAAAACAAAAATTAAACAATCCTTTGCTCATCAAACTCCTACATAGAATACATGCGATCTCACAAAATAAAACTATCATTTTGTGTTGGATTCCCAGCCACTCTGGTTTTCATGGAAATGAAAAAGCTGATGTGGCTGCAAAAAACTCTCTGAAACTTAACACAAGTAACATAAAGGTTCCATACACTGACTATAAACCCCTAATAAATGACTTTATTTTAAAAAAATGGCAAGACATTTGGGACAGCTGTCAAAACAACAAATTATTTAAAATCAAACCCTCTCTAAAGAAACAACTGAACACAGAAAATCACGCAAGGAAGAAGTGTTTTTATCCCATATTTGCATAGGACACACGCGCATAACTCACTCCTTCCTCCTAAAAGACGAAGATCCTCCTGAATGCATAGCATGCCAGGAGGCTTATACTGTGAAGCACTTCCTGCTCAATTGCGGTGACATGGCACATATTCGAAAATTATTTTACAACGTGAACAACTTGAAAGAACTTTTCGAAAAATCAAACCCCCAATTTGATTTTGACCTTTCTTAGGAAAGTTGGACTATATAATAAAATATAATTCCAATTTGGTGTCTGATGATGAAAGGGGAAACTTTGATACTTGCCAGGTGAAAAATTTTCAAAGAACAACGCACCTCTGAAAACTGAACTTTTAAAAAAACAAAAAGCAAGACAACATCAAAAAAAAAGGAAAGGGAAAGTCTTTTTGAAAGCATTTCAACCTTATTTAAAGAAAAAGAAAAAAACAAAAAACAACTGTTTGATCTTAAATGATCTCTTGCTGATCGATGGGTCATTAAGTTTTAAACAAAAAAATTTTCTACCCTATATTAGATATGAGCAGATGACATCATTTTGTCTTTGTCTTCTGAAATTATTTTTCATTAAAAATGAATCTAACTCTTTCCATAGTATTGAAGATACAATGGGTTAAAAAGTTATTTGATTTTTTTTTTATTCCAACAATTGTATTATTATCACTTTCACTTCTGCATTGTTATAGCATTGTTGCTTGTGCTGGCCTATTTTGAGAAAAACAGGAAATTGCCATTTACTGGAAATAAATGACTGTAAAGACACTAATGCTGACACACAATGTAATAAAAATGCATCACAAAATAGGTTGTATTGTATGCTACTGTATGTTTACACTGGTTTGGGAATAGTACTAAGTGCTAGTTAGTTTAGAACACAAATGATAGGAACTAACATTTCACAGTATCTTGAAAACATATATGTTGACAGCAGGCAATGTAATCTTCATGAAGGCCTATGAGTACATTTACAGCAGCAGAAGTGTTAATCAAAACCTTTAACCTGATACCTCAAAAGGAATAACTAACATTAAAGAAATCTTTAATGTGGTGTGGGAGTTTAATTAAAATCTTTTGATATTCTGTTTATTCTCACTTTATTTTCCTTTCTTTTATGATTGCATAAATGTATACTTTATGATAGAAATCAAATCTGATCTGTTCTAATTAATTTCTGATAAAAGTATAGAATGAAGCAAAAATTATAGTCTTATATAATTGCTTTCTCTATTTCAGATGATTGAGAAAACCGAGGAAAAATGTTTTGTGTGGTTTAATATTAGAACTTCATCAGCCAAGAACAGGCACTGCAAATACCATTTGTAATTAAGAGGCAGGTAACCTCTTCACAATAGCATTTCATCTGGCTGATTGAATGAACATCTCATAATCAGAATTGCCTTATTTTTTCCAGGAGAATCTTTTCTTTCAAACAAGATTTTGATCTGAACATAAAATTGACAAATTATCACTAATTAAAAGTAGATAAAGCTCTTTTTCTTTGTCAAGATTTTGTGAATTGATCTTTTTTGTAAATATGAACTATGATTTAAAGTCAATGTTTGATTGATGCCATATAGCAGAAGAAAAATGAAAGAATTAATAGTGATATCAGGTTCATAGAAAACAGCTATAAAATAATTTCAACTGTTTTCCAATTAACAAGTAATTATTACACTTTTTACCATTTCTGAAAGCCTTATGCAGATGTGATGACAGTGTCTACATCAGTTGCTAGCAGAATTTTCTACTCATTTTGGATACTTAATACAATTTTGCTGACTTTATAGAATATTTATGTATCAACTAGCAAAATGGCTCAGTATTAGCCAGAATAGTTCTAATTTGCAATCATCAACAAATTAACTTTTGATCATACATCTGTTTGCCTTTAATAGAATATACATGCGTGTGCTTTACAAAAGTTGTGCCTGGTAGCTCTGAAAACACAAAAAAAAATCATATATATTGTCTGTATACTTATATATGAGGTGTTAGTCCAAAGTTTGGATAATTTAAACATGTGAACCAAATGTTACCATTATCTGCAATTACACTTTGTGATCTATACTCAAACCAATAGTTTTCCCCATGTCTTTGAGGGAGATGGTGGAAACTAGCTTACACTAAGTAACTTTTCTCATGGTCAAATTCCCCTCATATATATATATATATATATAAAACAAGAACAGACAGCAATTAAGTAAACAGTGTGAGTAAAACAGCAAGTACAGAGAAGGAGAAAAAGACCAACACAACAAAAGAAAAGAATTTATTTTGTTTTTAATCTTACAGAAATAATTTAATGTTCTTCACTCCCAAATAAGATTGGAAGCAAAAAAGAAAGATATTTTTTTGTCTCTTCTTTTTACTTGAATTGTTTTGTACTTTTTAATGCTATGCCATAATGAAATTTCATAGCGAAAATAATGTTTAGCTCTTATTGGAGAGAATAATAACTCTAAACTCTAGTTCCAAGAGAAAGATTAGGGTAGAAATTATCCATTATACAAATTAAATTTAATTGTCATCTGGGGAATGATGATAAAAATTAATTTAATTCCCTCTTCTAAAATATAATAAAGTCTCCCAGAGAGCAAAAAAGGACTTTTCAGATTTAAATAATAATGGTGCTGTGCAATTTTTTTTTTCACCAAACTTTTCATCCTGATCAAGATTTTTTTTTACATTAGTGTATTCCTAATTTTAAAATTCAAATAAAAATTATATATTTGCACTTATAACAATGTATAGGTAAACCACCAATTTTCTGCCAACTCATAGTGCAGTATCTCTTTTAATGCAGACAAAACTATGAATGTACTGCACATCTGTATGCTTGCTAGAAGACTATGACATTTTATTCTCAACAACTTCTCATTCTAGAGCTGAACTGCTGTGAAAGTATCATGTGTACAGCGTACTCACCACCAAACCGTACATCCCTTATCCAATCCTAAGATCAAAATATTCTGTGTTCTATAAAGGCTAACTATAATTTTTTATAAAGTGTATGTTAAATGTGATAAGTTCTGGCAAGATTGTTGAGACAATGATCAAAGAATTTATGATAAATATGTTTAAGTTTCTAACAGTTTTATTTTAAAGATATGAGATGTGCTTAAGCAGTGGGTTAAAAGTGTATTATTATTTACTACTACTACTACTACTACTACTATATGAGCCGTTTATCTCACAAAATGGATAATTTGGTATGATTCTGGAATCAAGTGGACTGGAACAATTGGTGGTGTACCTATTAGCTTTTGTTACAAGTTTCCTGTTTCTGTTAATTACATTTTTGAATTATCACTGACAAATGTGGCCTGTTGTAAGTATACATGTGCGTTTATTGTAATTTCATTGATGTGGTTATCTAATGATTATATTTTTCTTCCATGATGTTCAAAAGACTATTAATGCTGCCAAATCTTTTTTCTGCAATATGGTATCGGTTAAATAGGTACCTGGTTCAATCACACTTAAGTGGAACTGTTATTCTCTTCATCAAATATATGAATTGGAAATGTCCCAATAGTCATTTATCTGTAATCAACAAATTTTCTTAAATGGTGACAGCTCTTTCTCACAAATGATTAACTGATAGAGAAAGATTTATTTGTTTTTTTTTTTTTTTTTTTTTTTTTAATACCTACCCTTTTATAAAGGGTTGATTTGTAGACTTTAAAATATGCAAATAAATTCATGAACTCAGCTTTCAACTTGTTACAATTAAAACAATTTTCAAATACTGTATTTTCTCAAACACACATTTTCTTTTCATAAAACATTAAACCAATTTGACCACACTTTATTTTTTGACAAATACTTTATTTCTGTTGCTTTTTATTACACTAGTCATATTAATGACAATAATATTCAAATTTCTTACATGAAGCAGTGTCAGTTATTAATTTTTGACTGGTATTTCTTTCATTTTCTGTCATTTTTTATTGTAACTCCTAAACTATCATTCTTTAACATGGAGACTTGATCTATTTTTATTGCCAATATGAAATGCTTACTTAACAATCATTAATAGTTGATCAGTATATTGAAACAGCCATTTTAAGAAAATAGTTTTCTGCTAATTGAATTATAAAATTAACAAAAAAATTATTATGGAAACATTATTTAATTAAACATTAAACTTCAACCAAATTGATAGAGGTTTGAAGGCATGGTCTTACTGTTTCTATTGTTCTTTTTTTTCTTTGCTTTAAAATGTAATGCAAATGACAAAAAGGAAAATTAAGGCTTTTATAGACAAAAGGATGAAGAGAAAAATTAGTATAAAAAATGAATAACAATAATCATTTTTCTTCTTTTCAACTTAAATATACAATTTATTTACTAATTTATGTAACTGGAAACTTATTTTCTAATTATTATTGATTAGTACTTTTTCCCTCATCTTTTTGTTGCAATTCTCAAACTAGTATTTTGCAGTGCAGATTGGAAATAAAGAATAAGCCTCTGGTGGGATATGAACTTGCATCTCTTATACTTGGGAGTCTGCTTTTTTGTACAGTAGGATTCATCCAAAATTCACCATATACCTTTAATTCTTTGTACACACTGCCATATTATATATTTACATTTTACACTGGAAAGAATTTGATATGATAGTATTTAAATCTCTTAGATAAAAATAACTAAGTTGTTAACAATTATTTGTTGACTTCTATTACTTTCATTTTATTTCTGTTGCTTTTTATTGCAATTCTCAACCTGTCATTCTACAATTGCTAATTAAGCAGTGCAGATTGGAAATAAAAGAACAAACTTCTGGTGAGATTTGAACTTGCATCCCTTATCCTTGGGAGTCAGCCTTTCCAGTTAACTTAAGAAAGCCAATCAGTTACAGTTATTCAAATCTAACCTTTTAGTCTTTGTCCTTAAATGCTTGATATATTGTTATCTTCTTAGTTTACATTTTAAACTGGTAATAGTAGTAGTAATTGAATTTCTTAGATGATGTATTACTAATTGTTATTACTTTTACATTAGTATTTCTTTAATTATTTTTGTTACTTCTTTTTTTAAAATTACATCTCCCATATTGTAATTCTATTATCATTCAGTAATATGAATTGAAAATAATAATAATTGATGATGCTCCCTCTAAAGAATTAAAATACTATTTAAAAAAAAACCATCAGTGCGTTGTATTAGAAGTTGCATGACATGGTGGTCTTGTAACAGTCATCTCCAACACTTCATGCTAATGCACCAACTTTATGTAGTTTTCAATAAGATTTATCAAATAAATGCATAAAAAATTTCATTTATTTTAATAATTGCATATAAAATAACACAGCAAATAAAGAAAGCATATATAGAAATTTTTTTGGAAATTTTGTTTTACTATATGAAGAATGTAGTTGTGACTAATTTTAAATGACATCTGCTAGTTGGATTTTGTAGGATAATCACTAAAGCACTGTTCATGTCAAACTCCTAAAGATAAGCAAGACTACCTCAAATCCCATGGGAAGCCAATCCAAGTCATTTGCATAACAGTCTTAAAATGTAAAACTTCAATATGAACATTTTGTTAAAAAACAACAGAATTAATAAAAAAGAAAAACTATTCAGAAGTTAATACATCTATCAAAACTTTTTTTTCACTAGTTATTATATATAGAGTGACTCAGCAAATAATAAAAGTATATACAGAAGTGCATTCCAAATTATTTTACTATAAAAATGCATGGCAAACTATATTAATATGTAAATATGCTGATGGGTTTATTGGGTAACTCAAAAAGTTCATTCTGCTTTTGCCGTTAAATGGCATTAACAGCATTTACATTTAAATCTTACATTCAGTTATATTCTAGCAAATGCCATGTTAGTGTGCAATTTTCAAAAATTGTTGCTGAATTCAGTATATTTTTGTTTATTGGTTCTAACATTAAAGATGGCAGAAAATAAATGTAAATTTTGGCATATTATGCTTTTTTGTTATTTTAAAAAAGCTAAAAATACAAGTCAATGCAAAAATGATCTGCAAAGTTTATGGAGAGGGTATCATGAATGACTAAACATGTTAAAAGTTCTTAACAAAGTCTTGTAGTGGAGATTTCTTACTGAACAACATTCCATTTTGTAGACCAGTTGAGATTGATAGCAATCAAATCATGATATAACTTGAGAAGAATCAATGTTATTGATATGACATACTGAAAATATCCAAATCAAGAACTGAAAATGATTTATAGCAATTTGGTTATGTTAGTCA